ACTTGATACGAGAAGGTGACCCGGAAATACCTCACAACATAATCAGGACAGTAATAATAAACAGACGTTTATCGAACATTAACAGATTAATATCGTATGTATTGAGACACTGATGTGCTAGAATACAACACAAGGTAACACTCGTTTAATCCATTGCTATCACATCAAGTACTAACTGACATTTATGCGAAAATATCAGCATTAAATGTTTGCGATCGCGCAGACCTACTTTCGTTTTACAGGTTCCATACATTTGACTTGTACATGTCGGCATCAACAGTATACCTTAACTTGTGTTAACATCGCGCCGAAGATTATACATAGGCGCATTCGAGGAAAAGTTCGTGATTAAAAGCTTGTGTGTGTGGTTTTTTTATCTTAAAATTATCGGATAAAAGCATAGTGATTAGTGGTATGTTACTACAAGATACAAGAATCATTATTTTACGTTGAATATATGTCATAGTTAACATAAGCTCTCAGGAGCTTGTATTTCGACAAACATATATATATATATAAATGGTAAAACATTGTAACAGTGTAAAGCAAACAACAATTTTTTATCACAAGATACCTACGTCGGAAGGATTAAGATAAAGAGGCTAAATAATCATAGTAATTTGGCACTAAAACAACTTACTTAAAAACCAGTCCAGAGGGCAGGTGATTGGGACATAGCATTTATTTGTAAACAGGTGCACGGGTTTGGTAGCCGTTAAAATTAAAAGACGTTTTTAGTATTGATGCTGCTCGTGACGCCAGTGATGTATTTTTTCGCTAAGCGTCGTTATCCAAAAAGAAGAATAGTACAAATTGAAAAGTGTGAATTGCCTACAGCTCCTGTCAAAAGTCAAAAACATTCCTCTCATGTTCTTTCTCGTCACCTGGATGTTTGTAAGTTAGAACAGCTGGAAACTAATAGTAATAATAATAAAATTATTTTATTCAAGTGTCTCATACGCTCTGTCAGGTAAATCATTTCACAAATGCAATAACAATAACTCTGTAAAAATAGTGTTTTGTAAAATATCAAGATCCCTATAAAATGCTACCATGCAATAGCCTATGGTTACCAGGCGTGAGCGGACTATGGAATGATGTCCAAAGTGTACGTGATTGAGAGTAATTTTGTTCCATAAAAGAACAGTAAATTAACAATTTTAATATCATAATTTGATTTGTTTCCGTCGTTTTTGGTATAGTAAAGAAAATAACTGTCATTGTATAAATGTTAACCCTCTGCCCTGGAAAACGTTGACAGTGTTCTATTTGCAAAAATTCCAGAGGGACTAAAGAGTGCTTTAAATGTCTTCCAGCAATATTGTAAGCATTGGAAGATTAATATAGATGTAAATAAAACAAAATTCATGGTTTTTCGTAAGAGAAAAAGTAAACAACAACATGTATTTGTATTGCAAAATGAAATTTTAGAAATTTTAGATAATTTCACTTACTTAGGAATAACATTTAATTACAATGGCAATTTTGTAAACGCAAGACGCAGATTGATCAACCAGGCCCAAAAGTCAATATTTGCTATATACAAAATAATCAGGAATCTTTCTCTTCCTAAAGCTTTACAATTAAAAATATTTGATTCTTTAGTGAAACCGATTCTATTATGTGGATCGGATGTAAGGGAATTCGAAAACCTGAAAATGATCAAACAGATAAATCTTAAGCCTTTTAAAAGAATTCTTAAAGTGAGATCTACAACGCCGAATTTTATGATTATTGGCGAGCTAGGTCGTGCGCCATTGGGAATAAATGTTAAACTAAGAATGTTAGGTTTTTGGAACAGAATCATTAGTAACGAAAACAAACTCAGCAGCATATTACTACGATTGGCTTTACATATGCAAAGCGATGATACTTTTTCTTTCAAATGGATTAACCATATAAAAGGTATCTTCAACGAAACGGGGTTTTCTTACATATTTGATAATAAATTACAGATGTCTGATGGATTTTACAAATGCATTTTAAAACAACGGCTTATTGATCACTTTGTACAGCAATGGTTCGATGACATTACTAGTTCATCTCGTGGGCAGTACTACTCTATATTTTAAATGGAATTTGGTCTAGAAATAAAATATTTACTAAATAAATTTGCCAGAACACCAATAACAAAACTGCGCACTTCACATTTGAAGCTTCCAATTGAAACAGGTAGATGTTATAACATACCCCGAGAAAATCGACTATGTAATTTGTGCGCGGAAAGTGTCTGGGATGAATTTCATTATCTATTAGAATGCAATAATATAACTATATCTACCTTACGTAACAAATATATTCCTCGTTTTTATTGTACAAACCCAAATATTTACAAGTTTAAAGGTCTTTTATCATTATGCAATCAACAAGTTCTGACAGGTTTATCTATTTTCCTAACCAAAATGGCTCCTCTTTTGAGAATGATGCATATGTATAACTGTTAATAGTTAAACAACTTATGAAATATATGTATGTTTATTTATGTTTGCTTTGCATTATCAATATCTATATTCCATTGCATGTCATATCATGCTACTATACCGTACCGGTTCTAAATTGAACTGTCCATTCTTTCAGTTATACATGTGTATATAAATATGTATATTATATTTCATTCGTCATATCTGCAACTTTATTTTCTCATGTAACACATATTATGTGTCTTAGTGTTAATAAAAATGTTGAAGCAAACATCCCGGTCCGTGTCCCCGGACTCTTATAGCAATCCACGACAGTGTCGTCTCACGTAGCATACATTTGGTATTTTCCTATGTACAGGTAAGGTGTTGGGTGTATGCTAGGTGATATTTGGCATCAGTAAGAGAACAATATGATTTAATTACAGGTAAACTATAGTCTGTACTATAAAGTGTCTTACCATATGTATATGAACATATACATATGTAGGTTTGATTTTTTGTGTTAAATTTTATTTATTTATAAAATTGTTTTTCATCTATTATAGTCTTCATCATAATAATAGGAAATTTCAGATGAAATGTCCTAACTTAACATATTATTACAATACATATCGATATACATTAAAACAACAGATTTTACATCGACATCCAGCAAAATCTGGCTTATGAGACACTAAAGGCCATTATAACACCTTAAAAATTAGTAAAACCACTTACACTGTACATAATTATAGTAAGTTAAAACATAGGCGCCTGCGATACATATGATATAAAGTAGCGGCTAAAAGCACAGAATCGATCTTGTAAAGGTGTAACTGGACGAGAATACCGACCGGTTTTGACTTTTAACTTAATATTACCGCAACGGATCTTTGCAAATGTTTGTCTATGGCCAAAATGCATAATACTAGTAATATAACATTGGGACTCCGAGCGTATACGTAGAAGTCGTTCAATAATCGTTGATGGAGTAATTTGTTTACACGGCATTCCTATCTTCTCCGTTTTCCTTTTGACCACTGATGTATTTTATAGATAAGTCTATGTCTATTCTCAATTGTGGCGACATTGGACGCATTTCTTCTGGTACCGAAGAAATAGCGGCACGCTTTATTATTATATCTCTGGTCAAGGTTGTAACATCATTATAACATTTTTTACTAAATTGGTCATGTAAGCTAATTTTCAATGTATGTTTCAAAAATATATAAGTTCAGCCCGAGTTACTAGTATTTCATTAATATAATGTAATCATTTAAATTGACAACGAAGGGTCATGTTCATGTTAACTGTACATCATATTGTACACATTTCTCCATTATCTGTGCAATATAATGGTAAACACATGTTCAAAGTAGTTTTTATTAAAATTTTACTATTCTGTCTATACCACATGCATGCGTTGTTATTAACCAAAATTTTATTACGGTAAATGGTACGAATTGTTCTCTTCAATTTTATATTCCAATCCTGTAAAGTATAGAATACCTGTATGTCTCAGTAGATTAAATACTTCTTTGCATTCATTGAGACTGGAAGAAAAAGAAATGTTCCTTCAGAACAAAGACATTGAAAGGAATGTACCTTCACATATGTGAAAGATGAATTTCGCTTTCTGTTAATTTGTAGTAAATTTGACAAAATCGACATTTGTAATATCATGAAAAGTAAAAATTATAATCATTTTTCCTATCTACAGTGTATGCCCCCACATGCAAAAATAAAACTTGAAAACTTAAAAGCAGATACTTTCCTACAGTAAACAACATTCACACGGAAATATATTCTTTTTAACAATTGTCTGTAATACTATACTTTATATTGTCTAATGGAAATCGTTCAGAATATTTGCTAAGTATCCGAGGAAAATAAACATGCATGTTAAGTATTTTGCGACAAATCAAAATCACCGGGTCGTGTTTGACATTTGGTGGTGATTTATTTGATTAATATCTTAATTTGAAAGCTTTAAAACTTTCTTAAAGATTACCAAAGAACCCCACACTTTAAAAGCTCTAATGTTATCTTATAGCAGGAGTACCACAGGGTTGAATGCTTGGTCCATTACCTTTTTCGAGGCATGTTTAGATAAACAAGTTAAAGATAAAAACAATGAGTGTTTTGCTTTATTGAATTCTCCGATAACAGAAAAGATATTATAGTCAGAATAATGGACTCTTCATTAACACATGAAACCACAGTTGAAAATTATTTTGTCATATGGCGCCTTGCGAGTTTAGCTATGCAGCAGCATCTGTGCCTTAAAGGTCACTGTGCCACTGCCAAAGCCTTAAACTAACATGCATTAGAAACTATTTTCTGGCTGACCTGTATCTTTGAGAAATTAATTTTGAAAAGAAAGTCATACCTTTCGGAACTACTATGTAAAAATGTTAACGATAAAATAAACAAAAACAAAATCAGCAAAGATGACCAGGGCCGGAACCCCGGACCACCATTCATTATATTGGGGTTCTAACCACATGAACCACCTCGTACCAAGACCCAATCGTCCTTCAGTAATGCAAAACAAATTAAGGGGAGCTCCGAACAGTAACAATTACTGATAACAAGTCAATATGTTTTGGACAGTGTTTTTAATAATGGTAGTAAATAACAATAACAACAACAGCAACAATACAGACACATCGCGCAATATCACAGCTATGTTTGACAGTCTTGTGGAATCTGAAAAAATCATAAAGAAAAACACTTTAGTATGGTTATAGAACTAGTACATATGTCGAGGTACAAAAAAGATAGATTTTAATCAATCTAGACTATCTAAGTCCTTGAGCAATCATAACGTAGTGATATATATGCTGCACATTTTGAGAGAATTTCACTTCTTTTAACATCACGTTAAGCCAGATATATATAATAAAATATTTAACAAAAGAAAAGTATTTTGGGAGGGTTATAATCTGTACCCACCATGATTTGTATGAGTACCCGGCCGATCTCCACCTCCCTGGGTTACGTCTAACCAGTCAGGGTTCCTGTTATGTTGAAGGCGAACAACAGCAGGAGACCAGAGATCACTGAAATAAAAAAAAAAGTTTGGACGTCACTGGGGCTGGTCAAGCGTTAATAAGAGAATGTTACAAGGAATGGTCAAATTTTAAAGAAAAACGGCGTTTATGGTGAGATACTGACCAGGGGTGGAATTAGAGGGGTACACGGTCGCTGCATTACACCCCCTCCACTAATGTCTTCATTTGTTCATTTTTAGATTATGTACATATACATGTAATGTAATATAATGTGTAGGAATAACATATTATTATATATTTTGAAATATCTTTTACTTACAGAGATCGAAATTTGAGCTCTGTTTCTATTGTTTTTTTCCGTATTTTTAGTAGTAGTTACTCAGACCGCTACCGGAACCGTAGCCTGCCATCCAGTACCCGGGGGTACCATATCCGGGATACTGGGCCACAACAAAGGCCACTAGACATGGGATCAGGATCAGGGCGAGACACTTGTTCATCTTGTAGCTGTAAAAGGAAATTATCAGTATCTTATTACAGTGTTTTATTACCTATAAATGTAGTCTAACTTTTTTACGTTTTCATATTTTATTAACTGTGTCGTAAATATCCTTTTTTAGAGTACTGATATGTCCCCGGATCGATCTCAATTATCTCGTTTATACGCATGTTGCACGATTTAGAGATATCGTTATTTTTAACATGCATACTAAAGATGTTTTACATTTAGCGGTTATCATTATTAAACGTAATATAGAACTAGCGCAAAATGCGCTAAAATGCGATTGCTTAAAAGTGCATTTATAGTAATAAACTCAATGATGAACAAACCTGCATAAATAATTTGTATGATGCTCATGATCAATAAACCTACAAACTTTTTGGATCCTAGGTCAAATATCCAAGTAAAATTCTTTTATTGTTACATGTAGATACACGTTCACAAGTAGGATGTGAACCTTTAGAGGTGAGACGAGAGCATAGTTTACAATGAATGAAATACGTATCACGATGCCCCCGGATTCGAGAAAGGATATAAATATACATAAAAGTAAAATATATATCATTTACCTCTGATGACCACGAGGCAGCGTTTTGAGAAAAAAATAATTCTTTGTATATTAAAATAGATCAGAATATGACGAGTAAATCAGAGAATGCTGTTAACATATACACAGTATCTTTATATAACTATATCTTACCTTTCTGTAGGGAGATCAGACCAGCTCTGGTAAATCCCATCATTTCTGTCCTTTTATATGCCCTAACTGGAAGATATACACATGCAATATTATGGACTGTTCGTGGACTTGAGCCATGATTCCCTAAGGGTCAACACTTCAATACATGTGCGTGCGGGACGTGACTGGTACGGCTTCCGTGTCTACTTGGGACGATACATTATATTGCTGACTTTGAGCACATTGCAGACATTTGCTGTGAATAACACAATCTTTTAACTATTATCCAATACATGTCCTTTACGTCATTACATAATCAATATATCTATTTACCTGTAATTGAGGTTAAGATTAGGTATCGGTATACACATAGTCCGTACCTTCATAATCGTTGACCGTGGACACGGACCGGGATGTTTGCTTCAACATTTTTATTAACACTAAGACACATAATATGTGTTATATGAGGAAATAAAGTTGCAGAAATGACAAATGAAATACAATATACATATTTATATACAAAATGTATAACTGAAAGAATGGACAGTTCAATTTAGAACCGGTAGGGTATAGTAACATGATATGACATGCAATGGAATATAAATATTGATAATACAAAGCAAACACAAATAAACATACATATATTTCACAAGTTATTTAACTATTAACAGTTACAATTAAATACATCATTCTCAAAAGAGGAGCCATTTTGGTTAGGAAAATAGATAAACCTGTCAGAAATTGTTGATTGCATAATGATAAAAGACCTTTAAACTTGTAGATATTTGGGTTTGTACAATAATAACGAGGAATATATTTGTTACGTTAGATAGATATAGTTATATTATTGCATTTTAATAGATAATGAAATCCATCCCCGACACTTTCCGCGCACAAATTACATAGTCGATTATCTCGGGGTATGTTATACCATCTACCTGTTTCAATTGGAAGCTTCAAATTCGAAGTGCGCAGTTTTGTTATTGGTGTTCTGGCAAATTTATTTAGTAAATATTTTTCTAGACCAAATTCCGTTTAAAATAGAGAGTAGTACTGCCCACGAGATGAGCTAGTAATGTCATCGAACCATTGCTGTACAAAGTGATCAATAAGCCGTTGTTTTAAAATGCATTTGTAAAATCCATCAGGCATCTGTAATTTATTATCAAATATGTAAGAAAACCCCGTTTCGTTGAAGATACCTTTTATATGGTTAATTCATTTGAAACAAAAAGTATTATCGCTTTGCATATGTAAAGCCAGTCGTAGTAATATGCTGCTGAGTTTGTTTTCGTTACAAATGATTCTATTCCAAAAACCTAACATTCTTAGTTTAACGTTTATTTCCAATGGCACACGACCTAGCTCGCCATAAATCATAAAATTAGGCGTTGTAGATCTCACTTTAAGAATTCTTTTACAAAACTTAAGATTTATCTGTTTGATCATTTTCAGGTTTTCGAATTCCCTTACATCCGATCCATATAATAGAGTCGGTTCCACTAAAGAATCAAATATTTTTAATTGTAAAGCTTTAGGAAGAGAAAGATTCCTGATTATTTTGTATATAGCAAATATTGACTTTTGGGCCTGGTTGATCAATCTGCGTCTTGCGTTTACAAAGTTGCCATTGTAATTAAATGTTATTCCTAAGTAAGTGAAATTATCTACAATTTCTAAAATTTCATTTTGCAATACAAATACATGTTGTTGTTTACTTTTTCTCTTACGAAAAACCATGGCTTTTGTTTTATTTACATCTATATTAATCTTCCAAATCTTACAATATTGCTGGAAGACATTCAAAGCACTCTTTAGTCCCTCTGGACTTTCTGCAAATAGAACACTGTCAACTTTTTCCAGAGGGTTAAAATTTATACAATGACAGGAATTTTCTTTACTATACCAAAAACGACGGAAACAAATCAAATTATGATATTAAAATTGTCAACTTACTGTTCTTTTATGGAACAAAATTACTCTCAATCATGTACACTTTGGACATCATTCCATAGTCCGCTTACGCCTAGTAACCATAGGCTATCGCATGGTAGCATTTTATAGGTATCTTGATATTTTACAAAACACTATTTTCACAGAGTTATTATTATTGCATTTGTGAAATGATTTACCTGACAGAGCGTAACTCGCTCGACTAGAAAAATCGTAGCGACCCCGAGCTTGTGAACTAGTGGTGAGGTCGATAAACAAAACACATCAGTTTGCATTCCATGCGCCTCATATAAATAATAACAAATAATAATAATAATAAAATTATTTTATTCAAGTGTCACATATTGATCTAGATATTAAACAAAACAAAAATGAACATAAAATTAGACCAATATCCAGCCAAAGTTAATCGACTTATGAGACACTAAAAAGACAAAAAACAAACATAAAAACAGTTTTCATTTTTAAAAAAAATCAATATTTGTCAGCTTATTTTAGCTTATTATACATTATTACCACACATTCCTGTCAAAGCTAGTTTGACTTATGATACTTGAAAAGGCAATACTATATAAACCTTGTAATAAGTTTCAACAAATTTAAAAAGCCGATATTTGTCTGCTTATTATTTCAATACATTGTTGTCAGAGTTATTTGTGACTTATGAGACTCCAAAATGCAATAAAATACAAAAGAGCAAGCGTCATCGAATTTTAAGAGAACAATACTTATAACAACTTTCCATAAGTTATTCTAGCACATTGATGTCAAAGCTAATTTAGACTTTTGAAACTCCCAAATGCAATAATATACCTTAAAATAATATAAATATCACCAAATTTTAAAACACCAATCTTTTCTTTTTGGCCTTCTTCATCAGAATTTTCTTCCCAGTAATCGAGTAGATAANGCATATGAACCTTGGAATAATTTTTACCAAATTTCAAAAGCCAATATTTGTCAGCTTATGATAGCATATAGTTTTAAGTTATTTCAATACAGTGTTGTCTAAGTAATTATGACTTATGAGACTCCAAAATGCAATATACTTACTTTAGCTTACACATTGGTGTCAAGTAAATTTGACTTTAGAGTTTCCAAAAAGGCAATAATATACATTAAAATATAATTATATATAAGAACCACCACATTTAAAGAGACCAATATATATTTGTTAGCTAATTATAAGGTACAGTATTTCATTACCTATTCCTGTACTACCAACTTTAACGAGAAAACCGCTGTAGTACTTTATCGGATGAAATATAATTATGTACTGGTAAAATGTCACATATATGCTTATTACTAAGATTACTCCTGTATAGTTTTCTACGCTTAAACGCGTTAAAAATAAACTGACCTATATTTGGCTGGAGTACACCATTTTTCATTATGTTAAGGAACTGTGTGTCACTGTCCTGCATTAAGAACCCCTCTATAACATCACAGGGTTGATTTAGCAAATTATATCTTAAATCACTGTACAGTTTGCAATCAATTAAGAAATGTTTTTCGTCTTTGACTTTCCTCATGTCACAATGGGTACACAGTCTATCATGAAATTGAATGGGCGGTCTGGCTAGCGGAAGACATCCGGCGCGAAACTGGGCCAAGTATCTCCTATTGGTTCGTGGAATGTCTGATTTCACATAGTTCTCTGTGCCTATATCATTTTTGTATTGCCTATATGTTCTGAGTTAATTTCCGTTCATGTTATTATTGTCGTTCCATAGAACTCTTTACCACTCTGTACCATATGCCGCGCGTAATTTATTTGTGTAGACAAGTTCACATTATTTACTAGATTGTCCGTATCTATATTATTCATAAATTTGTTAACCGCGAAATACCATCCCTTCCGATATCTGGATGACCATTTCACGATCCTACTAATTAGTCGACTGTCCTCCATTCTTTTAATTTTACACATCAG